TCAAGTACGAATGGATTTCATTGGATTTGCTGGTATAAAGATGGAGAAGAAAAATTAAGTTTTGATTCTTATGCACTACCACCTCCAGTTGAACTTGTTCAATATTTACACAGTCCTGTTTATTATAATAGTAAAAGAATTCAGTTTGGAGACACTTCCTTTTGCGGACACTTGTGCCTTTATGTATTAAAAAAATTAAATGAAGGTGCTGATTTTCAAAGTATTGAAAACTCATTATATTGAATTAAAAAAAATATAGTATATAAAAAAATGAGTATGAATATAGCCGGTAGTAATTCATTATATGGTTACACAACAGATGGATTAAATATCAACATTAATGTTGGCAATACAGCCACTACTGATGTTGATTTGAATTCACATAAATTAATCAATGTAGCTGATCCTACAGATGCACAAGATGCAGCTACAAAGTATTATGTTGATAACAATCAAACTTCTAGCAGTGCATGTCTAAAATTAGATGGAACTAATAGTATGAGTGCTAATATAAATTTGAATTCACATAAATTGATCAATGTAGTTGATCCTACTAATGCACAGGATGCAGCTACAAAACATTATGTTGATAATAATCAGATTTCTAGCAGTTCCTATCTAAAAATAGATGGAACAAATAGTATGAATGCAAATATTAATTTGAATTCAAATAAATTGATTAATGTTGCAGATCCTACTAATGCACAAGATACAGCTACAAAGAATTATGTAGATCGCTTAATTCCTTATCAACATAAATATAAAGTTTTGATTATAGCTGGTCAATCAAATACATATGCTGGTAGAGAATGGGGTTTATCTCAATCAATAACTAATGTAAATTATATGAACAGACGAATAGTCCAATTTGCGATGGATAATGGACAAAATGATGTTTTACTTCCTTGTTCATTGAGACTAGATGTAAATGAAACAGATAATAAATGTTGGGCAGGATATGGTTCAATACTTGCTGGACTTATAATGCAAGACGCTTTAGGTGCAAATACATTAAATATGATAAATCCTGATGAATGTTTAATGATACTTCCATGCATGCTAACTGCTAAAAGTTTTAGTAATGATTATTTTATGCCGTATGGAATTGGTTTTAAAGATTTAACTCGTAGAATTAATTACATTTCATCACATTATAACGCAGAGTTTTGCTGTATGACTTGGAGTCAAGGAGAAGACGATTCTATAACTGGTTGGTGTGATAACTATGCATATATTCTAATGAATTTTATACAAACCATTAGAGATTACATTGCATACTCATCAAACCAATTTGATACATTGCCAAACTCACAAATAAAAGCAAATAAAATGCTATTCATTACATTTCAAATGCTATCTTCATGGGTTCAAGCAAACTCAACTACAGCAACTCAAGTTCAAGATGCATTAAAAAATATTATAAATTATTCTCCATATACAGCTAGTATATCTCTAGATGGTATGCCTCCCAATCTAAGGAGTGCAAATTTCGATGGAGTACATTATGATTCAAGACAACAAATATTTTTAGCAAACAAATTTTTTGAAGCAATACCATTTGCAATGAATAATATATATGGTGGTGGCTATGGAACACCATATAATCCTGGAGAAGTATTATTAGTTAGACAAGTTGCTGGATATTTATTTCTTAACAATTATTATAGCGCCTATAGAGTATTTAATTCTACTCCATCTACTGCTCAATTATATAGTACATTATTTACTAATTGGCAGTATAAAAACAAAGATGGCTATTATAAATATAGACTTAAATATAAAATTAATGATGTATGGAATAGTATTATATTTAAACAAGCATTCCTTCCAATGATGTCGATGCATTATCAAAATATTGCGCAACTCATATCAACAGATACACCATTTGGATGTACAGAATTAGGACAAGGATTTTGCGGTTTAAATTTGACAACTACAAAAAGTATGATGAATTCTGGAGCAGTACTTACACTAGATACAAGTGGTGGTTATTGGGCACCTGTATGTCAAAATATAAACTATTTATATAATGGACGACCTGCTATGCCTATATTTGATAATTATATACAAAATAGTACTCTTCCATTTGTAGCAACAGAACTAGAATTATATGCTATAAGAGATCCTTTATAATATTGTTAAGACAATTCTACTATGCTTAAGTAAATCCCAGCGCATGCGCATTAAAAATAAAAAAAATTGAAAATGAGTTAAATAATTTTCTTTTATATATAAAAAGAATGAAAAATAATATTAAAGAATTATTAAAATCAATAAATGAAAGATTAAGATTAGTTGAACAAAAATTAAATATTAATATTCATGATATTGAAATGACTGATGATTCTGAAGTTACTACAGTTACTACTACTGAAGTTACTGAAATTACAGAAACTACTGAATATAGTGATGATATTGAAATGACTGAAGAAGATGATGAAGATGATGAAGATGATGAAGATGATGAAGAAGATGAAATATTAAAATATGTACATGAATTAGGGTATAAAAGTACAAATGATGCTTTTGAAAATGCTGCTGAAAATGGAAATCTTGAAATTATTAAACATTTACATGAATTGGGGTATAAAGGTACGGAATATGCTTTTCATTGTGCTTTTGAAAAAGCTGCTAAAAATGGCAACCTTGAAATATTAAAATATTTACATGAATTAGGGTATAAAGCTTCAAAATATGAATTTGATTGTGCTTTTTCAAAAGCTGCTGAAAATGGCAACCTTGAAATGTTAAAATATTTACATGAATTGGGGTATAAAGATACGGAATATGCTTTTGATTGTGCTTTTGAAAAAGCTGCTAAAAATGGCAACCTTGAAATATTAAAATATTTACATGAATTAGGGTATAAAGCTTCAAAATATAAATTTGATTGTGTTGTTAAAAGCGGAAATCTTGAAGTAATTAAATACTTGTATGAATTAGGGTATAAAGGTGCAGAAAATACATTTAATTATGCTGTTGAAAGCGGAAATCTTGAAGTAATTAAATATTTTCATGAATTGGGGTATAAAGGTACGAAATATGATTTTAATTGTGCTTTTGAAAAAGCTGCTAAAAATGACAACCTTGAAATATTAAAATATTTACATGAATTAGGGTATAAACCTTCAAAATATGAATTTGATTGTGCTGTTAAAAGCGGAAATCTTGAAGTAATTAAATATTTACATGAATTAGGGTATAAAGGTGCAGAAAATACATTTAATTCTGCTGTTGAAAGCGGAAATCTTGAAGTAATTAAATATTTTCATGAATTGGGGTATAAAGGTACGAAATATGATTTTGATTGTGCTGTAATGAATGGTCATCTTGAAGTAATTAAATATTTACATGAATTAGGGTATAAAGGTGCAGAATGGGCAAATAATTTAGCTGTTAAAAAAGGATATATTTTATAATTTTGATACATGTAGTTACTATAAATTCTAGTAGTGATAAAGCTAACCAATGCTTCACTACTACGAATAAGCGCTACTATGCTTAAGTAAATCCCAACGCATGCGCATTGAAAATAAAAAAATTGAAAATGAATTAAATAATTTTCTTGTGTATATAAAAATAATGGAAGACGAAAAAAAAAAAAAAAAAAATAATGTTATTAAAATATTAAAAGCAATTATTCGCACTATAGAAAATGGTAACCTCGAACAAGTAAAATATTTGCATAAATTAAAGTATTATTATGAAGAATTAGCAATTAATTATGCTACTGAAAATTATGACTTTGAATTAGAGCAACAATTATATAAATTTAAGTATAAATATGAAAAATGTGCAATTAGTTCTGCTGCTATAAACGGTCACTTTGAAGTAGTAAAATATTTACTTGAAATTGGATATAAAGTTGATAAATTAGCAATTAGTTATGCTGCTATAAATAACCACTTTGAAATATTAAAATATTTACATGAATTAGGGTATGAATGTTATGATTGGACAATTGATTGTGTTGCTGAAAATGGTCACCTTGAAATATTAAAATATTTACATGAATTAGGATATAAAGGTACAGAAGATGCAATAGATAAAGCTGCTCGAAATGGTCACCTTGAAATGTTAAAATATTTACATGAATTAGGGTATAAAGGAACAAAAGATGCAATTGCTTATGCTGCAGGAAATGGTCAACTTGAAATTATTAAATATTTACATAAATTAGGGTATAAATGTGACAAATGTGTATTTTATTCTGCTGCAGAAAATGGTCACCTTGAAATGTTAAAATATTTATATGAATTAGGGTATAAATGTGACAAATGGACAATTTATATTGCAAAAGAAAATGGTCACCTTGAAGTAATTAAATATTTACATGAATTAGGGTATAAATAAGAAGCAAGAAAGCCACGTGACGTCATTTTAAGAATTTTTCATAATATTTCATAACAAGAAATAAAATTTAACACTTATTTTAAAAAATCAATTTTTTAAAATAAAAAATTATTTCTTGTTGAAATAATTTATACACAATATGGCTCAATGTTAACCCAATATTAATATTAATTTATGGTTGAAAATTTGGTTAAAAATAAAAATAAGTTAGATCTCTCATTTTCTTACTACTTATATATATATATATATATATATATATATATATATAAAATCAGCCATTTTTTGGTATATATATATATATATATATATATGTATATAAAAAATCAGCCATTTTTTGGTGTATATATATATATATATATATATATATATATAATATATATATATATATATATATATATATATATATATATATATATATATATGTATATATATATATATATATATATAATCAGCCATTTTTTGGTGTGTATATATATATATATATATATATATATATATATATATATATATATATATATATATATATATAAAATCAGCCATTTTTGGAAATTTGAATACAAAAAGTAGAGAGAGTTAATGCTAGTCAAATATAGAAAACCTTACAAAAATTACAAGTAACAAGAAATTTGTTTATAAATACAGTTTACCTTACAAAAAACTGCAAAATTATTGACTGTATCCTGACTCTCAATTTCACTATCTTCGTTTGAATCAAATCTTAAAGGAGTAACATGAAGAGAAGAAAGTTTTACATTTTTCACAGGTGATTTTCGTTTTATAAACTTTGATTTTTCTTTATATTGTTTTTTCTGTTCTTCATTTTTATTTTGTTCCTCATTAACACTTACAAAGGATGTTGGTGTAGCCACAACAGGACTTTTCCAAAGCTTTTTTTTTGTCTGTAAAAAAATATGTGACAAGTTTATAAACTAAAAGAAACAGATACTAAATAAAAAAAGTCTAAATAATAAATACCGGATATTGGTTTGCCACTGCTTCAATTTTATTAAACACAATATTGAGATCTTTTAACCATTTTTTTCTAGATTCAACTGGAACACCAATAGGTGTCTCATCTGTAAATTTATACTCTGAATTTAGTAATGGAGATTTATCTGAAACAAGACACTGATTTTCAGTTAAAAATATTTCTTTCTTATCAAAAAAAGTGTTTTTACTATTATCAGGTATAATTGGTTTAGGGATATTCTGAATTGTAGATTCTTTTGGTTCCGATGAATCTTTAACAGGTGAAAAGTTATCATAATCTTGTAATATCTTTATTGAATCCTGACTTTCTGAAAAATCTGAAATTTCACACATGTTAGTTACTTTAGGACATTGGATTTTGACATTCTTAATATTTTTATTGTTTTTTGGATTTGTTTTTGATCCAGTTTTTTTAGTTTTCAGTTTACTTTTTTTGTCTTGTGCTTTACTAATGCTAATGTTTTTACAAGTTTTGGCTTTTTTATTAACTGTTTCTGGCATAACACCTTGTGTACAAGAACTGCTTACTTGTAATTCAGCTTTACGTTTGATTTTGCATTTTTTAACACAGACATTTTCTGGTGTACTCTCTGACATACCCGACAAAGGACTACTTAGTTCAGCTTTGGTTTGGTTTTTTACACGAACATTCTCAATTATATTTGATGTACTGTCTGATGTGCTTGATGAAGAACTACTTAACTGTACTTCAGCTTTTTGTTTTAACCTGTATTGCTTTTTTACACGAGGATTTTTATTTTTTTTAATCCACCATGGTTCTTGTGATGGACATTCATTTGGATCACTATCCTCAAAATCAAACAAATTTGTATGCAACTGTTCATTTTTGATTTTTTTAAAACAATCTTTTGTATAATTTAATGATGATTTGATTGGTTCTTCATTTGACAATTGTCTAGTTGATTTTATGACTGATTCTTTATTTAATGATATTTTTACCGGTTCTTTAAAGAAAGAATTTTTGATTGATTTTTTATTTGAAGATTTTTGAGTTAAATCTTTATTTAATGATTGGATGGCTGATTCATCATCACTAAAGTTCAAAGATATAATAATTTATTTATAAATAAAAGAAATTCAGAATAAAATTAAATAATAATTTATTTATAAATAAAAGAAATTCAGAAATAAAAACATTTATAATGTTTAAACTTTTATTGAAAAACAAAAAACATTCCAGCCTGTTAAGTAAAATTCTTATACTTTTCTTAATACCGTTTTTATTATTTTGAACATTATTTAACATAATAATCCCATTCTATAAAATCTTTGGATAAAGCAAGACTTTAAACAAGAATTTAACTAAAAGAAAAGATAAAAAAGAAAAGAAAAAGATAAGAAAAAGAAATACAGAAGAAACCAAAAAAAAAAAAAAAAAAGGCGAAAGAGAAGAAAGAAAATATCAAGTGTTAGAAGATATTTTTGTAGCTCGTCTTTGTTGTAATTATCATTTTTTATTTTATTTTAATTATTATTTGTATTAGATACTTATTTTATAATAGATTATTTATTCATTTTACTATTTCATAATATATATTTATATCATTCTTTAACAACTTAATTATCAGTTTATTTATTTAGTTACATTATTTTATATAATATGTAGTTAAATTATTACTCTATTATTAATTTACATTTTTGTTAAACTTTATTAAATTTTTTATTCATTTAAATCATATAATTTTTATTTATTTAAATCATATAATTTAATTAAATCATATAATTTTAATCAAAATTTTGTTTGATCATTGTGTTATTGTTAATAATATCATTGTTAATACTACTTAATATATAACTGTTAATATATAACTGTTTTTGTTTCAAGTTAATTTGCTATTCTTCCTAATAATCATACTTTCTATTATTTTTTTCTTTTTACAATTTCTATTACCATAGTTACAATTTTTAATTCCTATGTATACATAGTATCTCTTACATTCTTTATTCTATTGCAGAAATTACTCATTTTCATTGTTCTACTATGGCTTTAAATTGTTATTTGTGTAAAAAAAAGTTGCCAATCAATTCAATGAGAGATTTGTTCATTTTGGACTCATACAAAATGCAACAGGCTCAATGATTCTGTATGCAATTTATTACAACTAGGTTGCTCAATGCGACACAGTTTAAATTGTACTAAGAGTATATTTCCATTCACATATTTACCAGATAATGAACTTAAATTATTATTTTCATCTAATAAAATTATTATAACTGACGATTTACCTCCGTCTACAAACATCTTTCCATCGTTACATTTGAATAAAATTTCTAACCAAA